AAAAAAAAAAAAAAAAAAAAGAAGAAAAAGCTGTTGACCAACGGAAATATATGTACGATTTTCTGGGAATGTTGATGATTGATCAGTTTTTAATGGTGATCTAACAATTACAGCCTTTTTTTTTTACAAATACTGGTCAGCATCAGCATACATCCATCCATCTGTGTGTATATTTTTATGTTGTACACCCGACTAACAACAAATAGTTGCTCCCCTTTTATACGCTATACTTAACCACCCATCTAAAAAAAAATATTCTTCTTTTCATATTAGCTCTACTTTACCGTCTGAAAAGATAGAACAGTTATATTAACAGTCGAAACTGTAGTCTACTGATCAGACAGACTTCCCCCAAGTCATTATCCTTCAGCAACTATTTGACTGCCCTGAGCTGAATCTTGTACAGACGCTCAAATACAAAAATCATTACCACACCAATGGTTAAACAACTTAACAAAACCTACTGCTGTTCCACAAGACTCTCTTCAGCCAATCTGAACCCATTTATACGCTAAACTAGCCAGATGCTCCCCCTTAATCGAAAAAATACAAAGATCCCACAAAAAATATTCAAGTAGAAATATATCCCACAACTTACTAAGCATCAGTCATCCAATTCAAAATATTCAGACAATTATCTTGATTCCGCATCGTCCTAGACAATTCCTAAAGTTCGAGTGTGTTAAATTTCTTCCATCGCTCATCAGTGAAATTTGACAAATTGTTTGTAGTTTGACAGTGCGATACGAAAAATCTGCTTACCAAATAACCATTTATTCTGAACAATACAACCAATAATGAACACATTACAAACACGCTCCAAAATCTCCTGACAGCGGAAGAGACTTGCAACTCCTTGCCTTTTCCCCTTATTTCGTCATAATTGTAAGTAAGTCGACCAATAAATGAAAAAAAAAAAAATTAGCTATACACGGCAGTTAGGAGTACTGAAAAAAAAGAAAAAAATTTTGAAATAATTTCTAAACAAATATGACTATAGTGTACATTAGTTTCCAATTTCCATTCCAATACTTCAATAGTTTCTTCACGGAATAAAAAAATTTTGATTGTAAAGGCACTGTTTCACACAAATGCACAACTTATCACTACCAAATGCTTTATAGTCATCAAATTTAATTTCTTCTAAATTACTGCAGTTACTCGTCAAAAAAACTGTTGTTTCAGCGACAAGCTCCTTCCAGGCCAGGCTTACAGTCAATAGCCAGAAACGAACGAACAACAAGCAAAAAAACCTTGAACAAAATTCTGGTCACCGTTAAAATGACTACTAGATGTAAGCAAAAAAAACTCAACTTAATAATTGATGGAATATAAAGCTAGGCAAATACAGACCCGCCAGAAAAGTGAAGCAATAAAATTGCAAGTGTCCAGAAAGCAAGTCAGAGAAAACGTCAAAATGAAATCTAAAGATTAACGTATTTGATTTGCATTTACTCAAATTTTCTTTGTAAAGCAGCAGCTTTAGGAATCTGGAAGTGAATTTACAGTTTAGTAGCCTAAACAATTTTATTAAAGAAGCAACTTCCCCGCTAACAGTACACCAAAAATTAAAGACATCTAAAATTAAAAAGCCGCCTTCTTCAACCTTAAAACCCCCACTTTAGTTTCACGCAGATTAAAGGTACAAAAAGGAAGCCATTGAAGTCCTTCCACCCATTTACCTAATATATTCCAAGAATTCATACCACATTTCACGGTTGCTTAAAACCAAAAAAATAACGATCACCAGCATTTAGAAGAAAAACTAAGGATAATAAAGAACGAACGGTAGCAAAGGAAGCGAAGAAAAAACCTATAATGCTACAGGAACAAATATGATAAAACTGAGAACTTTAACAACAATATAGAAAAACTATGCAATAATCCCAAAGCTGCAAAAAAAGAAAACAAAAAAAAAATAGAGGAAAACAAATTGTACCGGATACTGGAATGACAAGAATTAATGATAAAAATTTTACATATATCAAACTCTCTCGAATTACATTTATGAGAATACAATAAATTTACACCAAAAACAGTCTACATACTGCGACTTCTCAAGGTTCTTTCTTTTTTTAGAAAACTCTGTTTCTCTTAATTTTTAAAACCCTCCTACCAAAAAAGAACCCCCAATAATCACCAGATCAAAATTAAAAAACTGAATTTTCGTAAACGTATTGTACTTACAATCCAATTAGTCCAGAAAAACTTCCAAGAAGCAACAACAAATTAGACAATTAACAAATGATAAGGAAAATTCGATACAAAGCGAACAGCAAAAAAAAAAAGAGAAACAAGAAACAAAAAAAAGAAAGCACTTAACTGTAACTCTAAAACTACAAAACCTGGATAAGCAACAAGAATTAACTTTGGTAAACCGGGTCTGTTATTACCAATGGCGCTTCTTTGCTTCAGCGACATGGCCACATTCTGAAAATAACCACAAGTTGGAAATTTTTCATACCACCCTGTAACTGATAAACAATAAAACTCAACAACATCTACTATAACCACGACTTTTCAGGAAACTTCCCTTACACCTTACAAGTAATTTTACCCTTAATTTTCTCAATGAAATTTTAAAACACCTCCACCTGTATCATAAACCAATCATTTTTTTAACTCTATTTTTCACATTATTGCATCATCTGTATTGATAATAAATTTAGAATAAAATTTGAAATTGTCGTTCAAATCAAATAAAAAAGTAGAAGTAGAAGAGTACAAACAAAAGCCGCTCATACATATCAATCTTCAGATCGTTTTTATGCATCATTTAAACATTAAAAAAAAAATCCAAATTCTAATCCTCCACACCAAACTTAAACACCACTGCGGTTCTGAAGCAAATTTTTTTTCACTCTCACCTTAAATTCCTGCCCCTACCGACCTTCAAAGTAGGTTACTCTGTTAAAAAAAAATTGGTTCGAAAATGTGAGCTATCTTTAATGAAAAGCATAATTCATAATTCCAGTCCTCTTCCTCCCTCTCACTGAAACATTAAAATCCAAACTGCCATGAAAATTAAACCCCTTACAAACAAATTAAAAAACTTAATAAAAAACAAACTTTATCAAAAAAATGATCAGTGAAATCAGTTGAGAAGTTTTTTTACCAAAACGACATTGCGTAACTGTTTCTGATATAGCCTAATGAATACTTTTGATTGCGCAAAAAATGATTAGATCGAAATTTTTTCGTTTACCGTCCCTCATCCTCAAAAATGTCAAAGAGAAAAATGTTATTATATATTTGAATAACGCACATATATGCAGCAAAAAAACAAGTCCCTCGTCCAAATATAAAAAGGATAGAAATATAACGAATCCTCAAGCAGAAAAATTACGACATCCAATCTTTAAATTATCTTTTCATATCAAAATTAATTGCGCAACTGTCACATCATCACAACACTATTTCTTATTATAAAGAAGCTAGATAAAAACAAGATACCTCCTAGGTAAGTTTGAACTACTACCTTCATATTTTTAGAAAACGAAACAGCAGAAACTCTCAAAACCCAACATCAATAAAAAAAAAAGTGTAGCCAAAAAGATATAATCATTCAATCTCAAACCACCAGAGAATTCCCTTCGGACCAAACGATGCACACTGACAAAAAAAAAGAAAAAAAAAAAGTTGATTAATTCCATTTCAGAATCATTGAAATAAAACAGTATTACACGACAAAAAAGTAACTACGAAATAAGCGAAAATCTGCCAAAATGACGTAACTTCCGAAATTCTACAGTCACAAGGCTAGATGATTTTCCAATAAAATCGTATACGGTAGAAATCCACCGTTGAAATAAAAAAAAAAAACACTCAAAGCCAAATTCTTCATAAGCAAAAAGATTAGTAATGGCCATAAGGAACAGCTGTTAATTATTATTCTCAACCATAAAAACAATTTGTTTGCCAAACGCAGCGAGTGCTTCTAAAATTGCAGTCTTGCTGCATTCTAATTGCCACCTGTATAAGAAAACAAACAAAAGATACAATGCAAAAAACCATTTACTTTTGTTATATTCTGTTCTACTATCAAAAGCTTCCCTAAGTGTAAAATCTTCTGTAATTTTGTAATAAAATGACACCAGTTCTTATGCCTAAGAAGAAACAGGACACTGAGTACCAACAAATCCCAACAAACTTTATTGTCTGAATCATAATAAAGCGTAAAATACAAGAAATTCCTAACTTCCTATCCAGTCCCACCTTCTCCAACGTTTGAATGAACTAAAAAACATTCTCATAGCCACTAGAAAAGAAATTAAATCCCATTCAGAAGTCTGGCGCAAAAGTAAACGTGTGAAGAAACATCCAGATCACTATTATAAGGAAACTAACAAAGTTTCTTGGTCACAAAAACCAATCACCAAGATTATAGACGCTTTTAAAAAAACCTTCAAAGCTAAGAAAATAAAAACTGAGAAAAGCCAAACTTGCTGACAAAACCTGCTTTTTAACCAAACCTGCCTTTAAAGGTTCAACTTCAGAAACAAATGCCGTAAATGCATATCTAAACACTCCAAAACATACCTTGACTGAGAGAAAAACAACGGAAGACTTAAGCACACATAGATCGTGTTACTCTTCGGTTGCCGAGGTCACAGCCCTTTGTGTCTATAACCCCTGAAAACTATGTAAGGTATTTCTAAAAAGTAAGCTTAACAGATTGTATTTCAGCGAAAAGCACAGTACCTCGATTCTGCAGGAGATCTGAATTCTCTTGCGTTTTGCAACTGCGAAACGCGCGACCTGCCGAAAGGTGCCTCCCCACAGGACATCTACCATTAATAGCCTTCTTATCAGTCAAGCGTTGACGCTTACGTACTACAGGAAGAAAGTCTAAACAAAAGTTAACAAATTAAGCACATATTTCACCACGGTCTCAATTTTGAAAACCAACATGCCACACAAAGCAAAGAAGCACCATCTCAAAAAATTTTGGTAAGGAAGGCGTAAATCATAATTTGAAAACAAAAAAAGTCCAAGTTAAACCAGCCAGTAGAAGTAAACTAAGTAATTAAGGTAAACAATTCATTAACAGTAAAAAACAGAAGCAAAGAAGGTCGCTCTAAATGTCGTACAAACTACTACGAAGTACATAATGCTTTATACTAAAATATACTCTTTAAATGGCAATATTAGTACCACAACCGGCCATTATCATCAAAAGGTTAACCAATGACTGCACATTTTTGTAAAACAGGAAAAAAAAGACCGGAACAATTAGAATTAACGGTCATAAAAGCTCCAATGCTTCTGGCGAGAAGGCAGGAAAACACTTTCAAACTAGCTTTGATAACGTCGAGCTAAATGAATATTCATCTATGCTACAAAAAAAGAAATGTTCTAAAAAACAAAAATAAAAAAAAGAAGCAGCCAAAAAACCAAAGGAATGTTTGTTATTCTGAACGTTTCAAGCATCTAAATGAATTAAGGGAAGAAATTCTGCACCAACATAATCGATTAAACAACAAAGCTGACCAACTGATATTTGAATATGGTACCAATGAATAAAACAGAAACGATCCAAATCTCAACTGCATTGTGACGTAATATCAGTTTTTTAGAACTTAAAAACAATAACAAAAGAAACCCTAATAGGTCAGTAAACAAATTTATCTAAATCATAGCCCTCCTTCGTCCCTCTCTTACTTTACC